GAGGTGAATCTCCAGGGAGCGGGGTGTGCAGGGTGCGGGAGGAGGTGTATATTACAGGGAACAGGGTGTACAGGGTGCGGGAGGAGGTGAATATACAGGGAACGGGGTGTATACAGGGTGTGAATTTGTGAGATTACCTACTTCAAGCCTCTGATGAGATTTCCGCTCATTCTGCAGGTGAATGAGTGATGTCCATCATTTGCTGTTTCCTCATTACTTACCTTGGGGCCGTTCTGTCTTCACCAACAATCGACAGTGCCAAGTTAACACTGCCCACCAGCCCAGGGCAGATGATGCCTGTGTCTTCCTCTGGCAGTGTCCCAGACACTCAGCCCCTGGTTCAGAGGGTATTGCTGAGGGTGAACGACCTGCAGCCACTCACTGTTGAATTGGACGTATTCCGGAACCGTCCCATCCACTCCTCTCGAGTACATTTTCACAGTCAAGGTCTTGGTGAACCCCTGGGCAGCGACAGGAGCACTTGGCAGCTGCCCAGTCAGCAGAGTGCCCGCCTAAAGAGGCACACGCAGGGCCTGCGACACCAGGGCCAGTTCTCAGTCTGTGACAAGGAGAACCATTGGGTGCTGGATAAGAAGGTGGCCTTGGACATTCGTGGCCGTGAGGTGGATGTGTTGTCACATTTCTATGTGAATGGGACTCTGGTGCGGCAGATGTTTTATGAGACTACGTGCAGGAAGCAGAAGCCCACAAGGCACGGCTGTCGGGGCATAGACCATCGCCACTGGAGCTCTTACTGTGACACCACTGACAGCCACGTTCACGCCTTGGTCCTCGACAACAATCACATCCGGTGGAACTTCATCCGGATTAGGACAGCATGTGTCTGTGTACTCACCAGGAAAACATGGACGCCATGACCCAGCAGCAGCTAGCCCACCCTACCTCAGTGTAAATTATTGCCCTAACTTATACAAATTGCATGGTGATATTTATATTCTGACAACCTAACCTTAATTTATTAAAACATTTTGGAAAGGATCCGCATGCATTGATTTTTCAGTCCTCTGTGTCGCACTGTCCTGATTTAGTCTTTACTTTCTTATCTAACCTCTTGACTTCCCTAACTCCAATGTGTAGCTTCAGCCCATTTGAGCTCCTTATCTGATAATGAGCCTCCAAATTGTTTCCCATTAAATGGAGATTGGGGAGGGACTGCCCTCAGCCCCAGTGAGAGGCTTAAACTTTCATCTAATTACACAGCTACAAATGTAGAGTTTTCAAAGTTTTGGTAAAGATCTGTAGCTTGGGTTGTGGGTGAGGTTGTTGACTTGCTTGCCGAGCTGGTTTGTTTTCGTTCATGTAGAGTTTGTAAAAGTATATTGGAAAAATCGAATCAAAAGTCTGAAGGTGAAATAATGACAAAATAAATAACAATGTTCAAAGTGTCATAGAAATGGAGAATACTAGAGAAACTCAGTCAGTCTGGCAGCATCTGATGAGAGAAAAATAGAGTTAGTGTTTCGAGTCCAGTGACTGAAAATATCACATTCTGTTGACAAATAAAAATCCTGAAGGTAAGAGATTGCTGCCTGGTTAATTAGAAGTTAACAAAGGTGTTAGTTTCAAACTATGGTAATCCTGAGAATTGGCAGCATTTTAAACACCTGAACATCCTTAACAAACTTTGTATGTGAATGATTCAATTGGAAACACAGTGATGGTTAATAGATGGAAGAAACAAACCACGGATGATTCGGTAATGGGGGAAAAAGCACTTCTGGATAAAAATAAAAAAAGGGAGGATATAAAATAATCCCCTCTCTCTCCCTCACCTTTGGTGTTAATGCATTGGCCTTGCTGGGGATTTGCATACCATTCAAGTAATTGGAAAGACAGTTGATTTAGTGGTGGTGGTTAATAGATTAAAAACACCAAATGACTTGGTGTTGGAAAGCTGCTTGATTTTTTATGTGGTGACACTTGCAGATATGAAAAGCACCAAAACAAGGTGAACAGGAAACTGATAAAGAGCAAGGAAATAGAAATGTAAGGAAGCCATCCAGAAATAAGAAAACAGATCCTAACAGTTTCTCAAGTGTTTACACAATTTCCTTTTGAAATCGTTCACTAGATCCACTTCCAACCTCCTGTGTTTCAGGTCATTACCACTCAGAGTACAAGATTTGTTCTTGACATTTCTCCAGCATCTCCTGATCAAAACCTTAAATCTGCGTCCTCTAGATCTCATATCAGCAGCTAACAGCAGCAACTTCTTTTTGTCAACCTTATCCGTACCTCTGCTAATCTTGTACAACTTGATCAAAGATTTGTGCGTTTGCCTTAATGTTAACTGCTGATCTTTTCTCATACTCCCTCTTTTCCAGCCTTGTTTTTCTCAATGTCCCCTCTCAGCCTATTGTATTTTGCATTGTCCTTGCATGAAGAAGTCATCTGATATGGGTCATACATTTTTAGTTTACTCATGTTTAGAAACAATTCAGAGAAGGTTCTCAGGATTTGCTGCTGTGATGAAGGCCTTATCCTATGAAGAAAGATTGAAACGTTTGGGCCATTAGAGTTCAGTCATCATGTTGAAAACATAAAATCCTGAGATGACAAGATTGGGTGATGATGAGGATGTATCCTGTTCTGAGGGAGGTTAGAACAAGGATACATTGTTTAAGATGTCTCTCTTTCAAGACTAAGATAATCTTTTCTCTCAGGACATTGTTAGAATGTAGATTTCTCTTAGAATCCCTACAGTTCAGATAGAGGTCATTTGACCCATTGAGTCTGCATGGACCGTCTGAAGAGCATCCCACCATATCCCTGCATTTCCCATGGCTAATCAACCTAACTTGCACATCCCTGGACACTATGGGGCAATATAGCATGACCAATCCAACCAACCTGCAATTCCCTGGACACTATAGCGTGACCAATTCATCCAACCTGCACATCCCTGGACACCAAAGGGCAATATAGCATGGGCAATACATTTAACCTGCAGATCTTTGGACTGTGAGAGGAAACTGGAGTACCTGGTGGAATCCCACGCAATCACAGGGAGAACATGCAAACTCCACACAGCCAATCACCCAAGGCTGGAATTGAACCAGGGTCTTTGGTGCTGTGGGGCAGCAGTAGAGCCATGGTGCCACCTGGAAGGTAGTGGAGGCTAGGTCTTGATGTTTATTCGAGGCTGAATTTGGTAAATTTTTGAGAGTCTAACGAGTCAATTGTTATGGCCAGTTGGGTGGGGGTTGGGGAAATGCAGAATTAGTGTAGCTAAGACCACAATCCGATCAGCCATGATGTTATCAAATGCCAGAGCAGGTCCAAGGAGTTGCACTAATCTTCTCCTGTTAAGTGCTATGTTCCTATATTGTCTGTCTCCTTCACTATCTGAGGAGCAGAGAATTGGTTCCCCTGCCTTTCCCTCTTGTTGTGAGGTACACTGCCTGGACATCTGCTCCATAATGATCACCCATTGTTCTGTTACAGTTTCTCCTGCCAGTCTTTGGTTCCATTTGAATCAAGTTAAAATTCTTCACATCACATTCATATAATTAGACAGTACAGGAGATGCACTTTGGCCCATTTGGCCCATACACTGCTATCTACAGTAGTCCCAATTTCCTGCACTACGTCCATAGCCTTGAATGTTGTGACCGTTTAGGTTCTCATTCAAGTACTTTTTAAAGGTCGTGAGGTTTCCCACCTCAACTATCCTCCCAAACAGTGCATTCCAGACCCCACCATCCTCTGGGTGAAAATGATTTGCCTCAAATCCCCTCTAATATATTGAGGGGATTATACTCCTTGTTATTGACCATTCAGCTAAGAGAAACAGCTAGTTTCTATTTACCCTGTCCATGCCCCTCATAATCTTGTACACCTCCAACAGGTTCACACCCCCACAAAACATCTCTGCTCTAAAGAAAACAACCCAAGCTTATCCAGCACCTGTTCGTTGATAACGTCTCCGTCCCAGGCAACATCCCAGTGGTGAATGACAGTAGCAGCAGAGCTTCTGGCTAATGAGCTGAGGAGCGGGACCCAGAACAGGCTGTTGGAGCAGCAGCAGGAGAAGGAGCAGATCGAGCTCAGTCGGAGTGGGATGGGATCAGAATAGGCGGTGTTCCTCAGGCGTATCTGTGTTTGAAAAGTGATGCAGAGCAAGAAGTTTGGTTGCTTAGGAACCAGCTTTAGGGACTCAGAGACTAGCACTGGGAGGGAGACAGAGTGTAATATCTTTACTTTTATGGTTTGTAGTTTGTTAGGAATACAGAGAGAGTGAGCGAGAAATCTGCTTTGGCAAGTAGTGGGTAAAGTTGAGTAATGTGTTCTTATTGTTTATTGTTTGTAGTTGCTAAGATTCACTCAGCCCTGTGGAATGCTCCTCCAGCAATATTTGGGAAATCAGGGATACTTCCAGTCTCCATGGTGACCACGTATACAGGAAGTGTGTTGCTGCAGCTCCTGATTGACTGCATGGAGCAGCTGATGGACTCACTATGGGGCATCCTGAGGCTGAGGACATTGTGGATAGTACATTTAGTGAGCTGGTCACACCACAAGTAAGGGCTACACAGGCAGAAAAGCACTGGGTGACCACCAGGAAGGATGTCTTAGAGAGACTGCAGGACATTCTGAAGGGGAGGGTGAACAGCCAGCGGTTGAGGTACATATCTGTACCAATGACATGGGTAAAAAGGGAAATGCGGTTGTGAAACAGGAATTTAGAGAGTTAAGTAATAGTTTAAGGAGGAAGACTACTAAGGTTGTTATCTCCGGATTACTTCTGGTGCCACGATCTACTGAGTATAGGAATAGGGAGACAGAATTAGAATTAAATTTCTTGTCACATGTACTCAAGTACAGGGAAAATGAGTACAGTGAAAAGTGTACAACGTCGCCGTTTCTGGTGCCATTTTAGGGACAAAGTTTCCTAGGTACAAAATCTTAGGTATAAAATAAAGGCTAGAGAAAGGTAAATAAAGATAAAAGTTCAGCATTACTGTCTTTCTAAAGCAGGGAGTCCATGCTGGGCTTTACCTTGAGGCCAGGGGTCTGCACTGGGCTGTACCTCGAGGCCAGGAGTCTGCACTGGGCTTCCACAAGGCCAGGAGTCCCTTGAGTCTGCGTTGGCTCAACTCTCTACCACTGATACCTTGGAGATAGGTCAGGTGAATACTAAAGAGGAATGGCATAGAAGGAGGGCTTTGGATTGTTGGAACAGCTTCTGGGGTCGGTGGGACCTGTACAAGCTGGACAGGTTGTACCTGAACTGGAATGTGATAGAATCTTTGCTGGGAGGTTTGCTCGTGCTGTTAGGGAGGTTTTAAGCTAATTTGGCAGAACAGTGCGGCACAGAGTAGCTGTAAAGTCTTGGGCAAGGTCCAATCAGATATAGAAAAAAAGCTAGGATAGTCCAGTAGGTGGAGGAGACATGCACAAGATAAGGCACCTGGGAGGTCTAGAAAGATAAATTATTTCTATTTTAATGCAAGGTAACTGACTGGTAAGGCGGACGAATTTCGAGTGTTAATCAGCACATGGGAATGTGATATTGTTGCTATCAGTGAGACATGGTTCAGGGAGGGGCAAGACTGGTAGCTCAGCATTCCATGGTATAGAAGTTTCAGGCATGATAGTGGGTATATAAGAGATGTGGGGCATTGCATTATTGATAAAGGAAACAATCGCTGCATAATGAGGGAGGATGTCGTAGAAGGATTTCCAAATGATGCCATCTGGGTAGAGCTTAGAAATAAAAAAAGGGGTGATTACACTAAAGGCTTTCCAAAAGTCAGAGGGAGAAAGAGGAGCAGATATGGCTGAAAGGCCATCTGGGCTGGTCCAGAATGCAACTATAAGGTTACAATCTGATCAGCCACATTCATGAATGGCGAAGCAGGCTCGAGAGGCTGAAAGGCCCAATTGTGTTCCTGATCAGTATGTTACTATATAATAAGTCTGGTAGTAAGTCAGAAGATTGGA